CTGAGTTAAACCATTTATTCGAACTTAAAATGAACAGCAATCTCTAGACGAATTATGACTCTAAAAACTAGTAAACAACACCTCCACTTGGTCGCAAAACATCCACTAAGTGTTCAAAGTCATGTGACCTAAGTATTGGCACTTTTTGAGTACACTATTTAAGAAATAAAAAACATGTACCCCGGAATATATAAATGATTTACTTATCAGAAACTCTGACACTCATAATAGATCAACCCGTTTTTGTAATATAAACTTAATGTGCCTGCGATTTAAGAGAAGTACTGAAGGGGGTCGAGCATTTGCTGTGCGAGCCACAAAAGAATGGAACAAATTAAGTGTGGACATCAAACAGAGTACCAGTGTAAAAAATTTTAAGCGCTCCCTTTTTAAAATAATTTTAGATAATCAAATTCTTAGCAAACTATTCCTGTAAATTTTTTTTAAAAAATTTGTAAATAATCACATTTTATAAATATTTTACGATGTATATAGGCTTAATTATTTTATTTTAATTATTTTTAATATTGTTACGATTGTTACTATTTCTTTCTTTTTCAAATTTTATTTTAGAGGACCATTAGGTTATCAGTTTTATTACTGTCAAATGTTACCCTTGTAAAATAAAGTCTTACTTAATACTTACTTACTTTCTATGGAGTTATAGAAACACAAGTGGAAGGTTGGGAGAACGAGAAATGCTCAGTTTCCACAGCTTTTTCGACTGAGTTCTCCCAAACTTTCATGAGTGTTTCTATAACTTGATAGAAACATGGAGAACATGTTTTCTATTTCTTTTAGAAAACACCACAACGAAAAAAAGGAAAAAAACTTGTTAACTTTGATCATCAAAATGTAAATTCTCTTTGCTCATGCCATCATTACATCAACAGCTATTGCTAGTTCTGAGTTTCTATCGAGTTATAGAAAAACCATTTTTAACCAATCCGTGCGCCTATTGTTTTTAGGACTTTTCTAAAACAAAATGTGCTTCTCATCAGTTAGCATGATTACAGTTAAATGTGGATTTAAAGACTGCCATTCTACTGTTGTATGATTAACGTTTTAGTGAAAGCCATTTAGTTCTGTTACTGTATTTAGAAAGTAAAAACCCAACTGGGTATCCACGAAGCCTGAGGCACTTCCAGAATTTCTCGCATTTTGCTAAAGGCTCTAAAAGGGGAGTTATTTCTAGTATAGCACATAAGCGCACCTCTAATGAAGGCCCTCTTGTTGCTCGCGGGATGAAACGACTCAAAGGGAATGTACAGATACTTATTTAGTGGCTTTTGATGGGAAGAAAAGTGCAGAGTGCTAAAATTAGCATCTTTGTAAAGAAATAAATCGAGAAACAAAATACTACTTTCGTCAATAACATAGTACGTAAGTTTGATATGATCATTCTTGCTATAGAGACAACTAAGAAACTCTAATAGGATTTCTTTGGGACTCTTCCAGACAAAAGATATATCTTTTTCTAATTTAATTTTTCAATATTTTTAAACTTTTTTTTATATTTTGGGGGCTATACGGTTAGCGCTAATCACATGGCCCCCAAAATATAACATCACACAATAACATGTGTATTAAGGTGTTTCTTGTAATGTCCGTTTACAGTGTGTTTCAGCAGGTATTCACTTCCATGGGAAGTTAAACTTAGGCACGCTTAAATCATTCCCTCAAGAAGTCTCAGATAGAGACGAAGCGCATCAGAAATAAACGAAAAAGCTTAAACTACAAGACGTCTTCCTTTGGGCTGCTCACTAGCCTTTGTTAAAAAATTAAAAGATCAAAAGAAAAATTAAGAGATTCCAATAACTTTCCAAACAGATGGGCTTAGAGGGTAGATCATAGCCTGCGAACAGGCTCCCGGCGAGAGGGGAAAAAATTTTGGCAAGTGCGAAACAGAAGAATTCGAAGAGCAAAGCGATCGGGGCAGGGACAGGGGAGCCTGTAGACTTTGCTTTTGATGTGCCTATCTGCCCTTGGTGATAAGCCTGTAACAAATCAGTCAATGAAGTAATTAGACCTGTCAAGAGGCTACATTTTTGGTACTTGCAAACAGTTCTAATCGAGCTAATCAAAAAGCCGGGCCAGGCGTCATAACATAGAGTGCAAGAAAGCAACATGTTCACGGAATATTTCAAACTTAACTTTGTCCCTCCAAAGCCAATACTTAGAGAGCTTAAAACACATTTTGCAATACTGAAATGAACCTAAAGAGATTATAAGCACATGATAGAGGTGTCAAACTCTGCAAAGCGACAAGCAGATAGCAGCGGAAAGTCCAGAAACCATGGCTTTGACCTCTAAAAAAATTGCTATAGCACCAGCAAACAGCTCCACTCCACTAGCATCTACATAAAATTCCTGCTCATAACAGAGCATAAAGTACCCTTCAGAATCACTTGTGAAATAACAAGAGGTTGAGAGACCGAAACTTAAAAGAGAACGGCAAATGCACTATTGTAACAAACTGTTGGAGTCATATAATTTTACAAAGATCTGACAAATATTCATCTCAAAGGTGTCAACAATCAGCGATTTAACCAGTCATATCATGATACCAGGAGCTGGTATCATAGAAAGGTGGCATCAATAGAATGTCTACAGGCTCCCTCGCTTCATTCGGGCTAACCAGGAGCCTGTTCGCAGGCTAGGTAGATAGTTGAGCCTAGAGAGTAGAGCGTAGATGGGCTTAGAGGGTAGATGGAGATCATAGAGCGTAGAGCGGGTAGCTGGTAGAACATAGAGAGTAGAGCGTAGATGGGCTTAGAGGGTAGATGGTAGATGGTAGAGCATAGAGCGACTAGTTGGTAGAACATAGAGAGTGGAGTGTAGATGGTAGAACGTAGAGCATAGAGCATAGATCGAAGAGAGTAGCTGGTAGAACGTAGAGCATTCAAATGTTTGAATGTTGTTGTTTATAGTGGTCAGTGCGCTTAGTTACACCTAGCTAGTTCACAGGCCTGCCACTTTAAATGAAAGAAACAAATATATCAACTGAACGTAATAGGCTTAAAAATCCCAACGGGCAGGAAGCAGACCAGTTGACTATTTGTGTATGAGCGTAGATGGACTCAGAGGGTAGATGGTTTGAAGTCAAATGTCACGAAATAGGCAGGTAACCATAGTAACAATACACAACTATGGTAAAAGCTATGAAGTAGGAGGTAATGTATCTTTCCAACACGTTGGAGGAGACTGTTGACAAAAGTGTAGAGTCATAGAGCTCTACAAAAATTTCTACGCCAAAATGAGCTTCATAAAACAGGCGCCAGTTGCTTGAAATGGGAATGGAGCATGGAAAAGTAAACTTTTAGCACCCCTAATCATGGTTTGACTTTGTTGCAAAGCAAGCAATAGTATTTTAATCAAAGCCAGGCAGCATCATACTAAGAGTTTGGTTTCCCTAGGAAAGGCTTTCAAAGTCACAGACATGTATTCTGTTAGGCTCTTTACTGGATACAGGTGATGACAGATTTGGTTTGGAAATATCTTCACATAGGGAGGGGAGGATGAGAGTGGAATGTGTGAGGGAAGAGGTCAGTGGGATGGAAAGGATACATGTACAGGTCTGGAATAAAATGTGTTAAAACATTTTATTATATAGACACGAGTGTTTTACTGTAAAATACACCACTCATAATATTCATACGAAACCACATCTGGGACTCAGGTGGTGTATATTCCGTATCCTCACTAGTGAAGATATCAATGATTTCACTGATATCAAGTTTGTCTGTTAAATTGTACTTAAATTCGTTGGTGTATGAAACATCTTCAGGTCTTCCTCGAAAGTCTTCGGCATTCTTTGGGGATCTTAGGAAATCTTCAGAAATCTTCGGAAAATTTTGAAAAATGTTTGGCAACGTTTGTGTGACCTGACAAGTTTTGGAGAATTTTTGGAAATGTTCAGAAACTGGTCAGAAATCTTCGGAAAATCGTCAAAACCACCGTGATCAGTATGTCTATATAATAGAAAGAACATGACATGTTGGCTCAAAGATATGAATTTTATGTTCGAGTGGCAAGAACACTCTAACATGGAATATCGTAAGAATATCACAAGAATATCTCACTTATCCGCTGCGCTCACTCGTGAGATATTCTTGCCACTTGAACATAAAATTCTTATCCTCTCGCCACCCTGTAATATCCTCTATATATTTTTAACATTAAACAGCCAAACAGCCCTGGTCAAGGAAGTACAATAATATTTCTATTACAAAGACTCCCATGCAGATTCCAATCCCTGAACTACAGCTGTATGTTTGCTAGCCATAACATTTCAACAGATATTTCAAAATCAATGCTACAGCAGTTGTTGTAGCTTGTGCTTGACAGATAGCACTGTAGTTCTAATTGAGACTTGCATGTATTTGTGTATATTCTCTTGCCAATCTGTAAAGGTAAGGTAAAGTCTGCATACTAGCCAAGTGGCCCATCAGCTGGCTGGAACTTAAATCGCAGTTTCTGTAGCATGAAGTGACTAGGAGTATTTCTACTTGATCCCTCCTGGATGGAATGTTAGTCTATCACAGGGTTGCCCCCAGCACTAAATTAGCCAGAACCCATTATACACCTGGGTGGAAAGAAGTGCTGTGTGAGGCGCTGTGAGAGGCACTGTGTGAGGCGCTGTGAGAGGTGCTGTGTGAGGTGCTGTGAATGTCTTGCCCAAAAACACAACACAATTTCCCCGGCCAGGGCTCAAACCCAAGCTGCTTGATCCTGATTCCAGTGCACTAATCTTTTTTCCCTTTTCTACAATTAAATATATTGTAACCAAGATATCATTGTATACGTAAAATTGTTGCTTTGTAGTTTTAAATTATGTCAATCATGTGCTACTACATGTAATTTTGTACTTTGCATTGTCTTTTTGAAGTTGCTAAATAAATATCATGAAAAAAAAGAATACATGTTCAAGTCAATTAGAAAAGAGAGATGAATCCAGTCTAGAAGGGATCCAGCTGTAATTTGATTTCATCTTGTTTTAGTGTACTTAACTTGGATAGTCATTTCCCCCTGTGGCAAAGAGGTAAAAACAACATATGGTGAGTAATATTGAGCTTTATTATATAAACACCAGTGAAATACCAGGATTTTTCCTTTTACTAAAAAATCATATCTTCATCGCGCGCAGTGAAGGTACTATTTTTATTTTTCAGACTGTGAAGATATCATTCCTTTTTTATAACATTTTTCTTTTGTCCCTTTAACTACACTTAAATTTGTTGATGTATGATGGAAACATCTTCGGATCTTCTTCAATCATCTTTGGCAATCTTCGGAAAATGTTTGGAAATGTTCGGAAAATGCTGGGAAGCATTCGTCTGGCTTTTGGAACAATTTTGGAAAATCTTCGAAAATCTTCGGAAAGTTGACGGAAATCTTTACAGAATTGTCAAAAACATCATTAGTATGTTTATGTAATAAACAGAATATTACATGCCTGCGTTTGGATACAAATTTTATCCTCGAGTGTTTAACTCAAGATCTCACGAGTGAGTGCAGCGAATGAGTGAGATATCTAGTTGAACACTTGAAGATAAAATTTGTATCCACAAATGGGCATGTAATATCCTCTATGTATTTTGCTTGCTTCTGCTTTGTTAAATCTTGGTATGGATAGTATACTACTTTATTGCAGTTCAGTCTAACAAGTCAAACAAAACTGTGCTCAGTTTAATGATAAGTGGTTGAGAGCCATGATCAATGAGATCACAGGTCATAAAAATGACATGACCTGTAATACAATTCAAGGCAAGTATTGGATAACTTGAAAAATTGTTAACTAAGACTTAAAATCATAGAGTTGCAAAATGTAAAATAGGATATTTAGGATGAAATTTTTGAGCAGATCTTTGGTTTCAAGCAGGAAAAAAGGATCTTTAGTTAGGAATTGTAGGGCTGTATGCATGTCCGCCCTTTGTCAAATTTTAAGTTGTATTTTGCATTTTTCGCTCTGAATTGCTAGAAAAAAGCTCAAAATAAGTTTCTGCTCCACAACAAAGCAAAAAAACTTTGTCTTCAAGTTTTGAAAGCAATAATTTTGGAGTGTAACTAATGTGCGAGCCTGCAAGCCAGAGCCGCAAGCCGTTAGTCACAAGCCTATTTTTGCAAGCCACTGCATATTTTTTTCTGTTTTTTTTTTTGAGTTTTTAATTTAACGTTAACATTTACTCAGTAAATGCCACACTTGGCAGAAGAAACACAAGTTTTCAATTTTCTTTCATTCGTGAAATTCCACACAAGTAGTTTTCCATCTGTATCAAAACAGAATTTGAAGGTCAGTTTATAGTTTCAGATATGAATGAAATTTTGAGTTTCCCTTGCAAATTTTGTATCAAAATGTTGATTACTGTAAATCCTTGAATTAGTGCCTGGGGCGCTTATTTCAAATTTAGGAAAAGAAGCGGGGCGCTTATTCGAGGGGATGCTTATTTAATTTTTCCCCAATCGTGGCCTGGCATAATCATTTTTTTAATACATCATCTTCACGTAAACACCAACATAAGCTGTTTATTGACATACAAAGTTGATCCTAAAGTTTAAATCGCGGCACCGTTAGTACTTAA